TGAGACCCTGCCTTGGGGGTGGGGGGTGGGCAGAGGGGGCGTGAAGTAAAGACAAAGTAATTGATAGAATAGAGTGGACAATATATGAATCACATGAGCTACACATCACTGTATGCTTTTTAACATGAGAAAGGATAGACCTCAGTTAGAGAGGCATCCAGATGTTAACTCCATTCCTTGGCAAATCAGCCAATTTTGTTATATTACGGCAGCAAAGAAACAACTGTACCTGCTTATAGCTAAGGTTGAGAATGGCCGAGAGTTCCTGCATCTGCTGGAGGTTGAGGTACCTTTGCCTCTGAAACCTTTCCCTGAGTGCACACAGCTGTGCCTGAGAGAACACGGTCCGCATCTTCTGCTTCTTGGTGTGGACCTTGTTGTCCTCCTTCTCGGCGTCCTCTTCAGACTCAGGACCAGTGAGCTTCAGTTTGGGCCTGGTGGACGAGTCAGGGCTGTCCTGACGAGGTAGGTCCACAGAGGAAGGGCAAGGAGAGGCTGTTAGGAATAGACAGATAATCTGTTAGTAAAACATGTTCAGCCGGGCATTGTGGTGCATGCCTTTATTCCCAGCACTGGGGGGTAGAGGCAAGCAGATCCAGGAGTTCCAGGACAGACAGGGCTACACAGAGAAACCTTATCTCAAAAAAAAAAAAAGATATTCAAATATTAGGTTTAATGTATTTACTTTCAAAGTAGTTATCTTCATAGCCTTAGATCTAAGTAATAAGTAAAACCTAATTATTTTATTATAATCATATACTCTGTCAGAATACTTGGTCACCCCCCACCTCACCCCCCGCATAACATTGTGCTATCATTTTACATAGGTGTTTTAAGTTATGTTATTTATTTAAATCATACAATTAGACCCTGGAAATCCAAAAACAAAATAAAAAAAAAACAAAAACTAACTAACTAACAAATGTTTGGCTCAAAGGCAGGACGGGGAGGAAGTTTGAATTTGTAGTCCTTTTTCCTTCTTTCAATCCCGGCTGCCTCTAAATTAGGACTGTGACCTCACGTGGAGTGTGAGCATGTGGTAGGGAGTGAGGAGGCAGGAGGCAGCGCGTACGTGAAGTCTGCTTGCTCCAGAAGCTGAGATGAGAGAGAGTTTGAGACCAGCCCCAGCTCAGAAAAGTAAATAAATGGGCTGGAGAGATGGCTCAGCAGTTAAGAGCACTGGCTGCTCTTCCAGGGAACCGGGTTCAATTCCCAGCACCCACATGGCAGCTCACAATGTCTGTAACTGGGGGTCCAGAGGACTTGACACCCTCATGCAGATGATACACCCAGGCAGAACACCGATGCACATAAAAAAAATAAAGGTTTATAATCCCAGGCATCAGATTTGGGGAATTTCTTCCCTAGTTTTTTGCATGTTCCTGGGGATCCAACCCTGTTGGGACCTGTCACGCTCTACCACTGAGTCAGCCCTAGCCTAGTCATACAACCACAAACATGTATGAACTAACATGTGAATGAACTAACCAGTCTGCATGAAAATGTCATAATGAAATCATTGTAATGAATGTCATCTAAGGAAATTTCCAGGGTGAAATAAATCACTTGCCATTAGCAATGCACAGCCCTGGGTTTAGTCCCCAGCACACGAAGAGGAGGAGGAGGAAGAAAATGAAGAGGAGGAGGAAGAAAATGAAGAGGAGGATGATGATGAGGAGGAGGAGGAGAAGGGGAAGAAGGGGCGAGGAAGAAGGCCCTTCTTCTCCTTCCCCTTCCCCCTAGAAGGGGAGGGGGACCTTCCTCCCCTTCACCTAGAAAGGGAGGGGGGAATCAGAACCACTACCCAACTTCACCTAGCATTCCCTAGCGACGGCATCGCTGCGAGACACGATGCTCAACACCAACGCCGCCGTCTCCAAGTAGACCAGCTTTAAGGCAGCTTCTAAAGGGACACTTATGTCCTCTGGCGGCACTAGGGGCAGCCACAAACACATACATCCTCCCTCACTTTACTTGCCACGGACAATCTACCCACTCATTCCCAACTCCGCACTCTTCCACATCAAAATCACAAAATCAAAATTCAAAATGACAGACATTAAACCAAAGCTCAGAGAAGAGGTGACACTGTCCTGAAATACACAGCCAACGGAGTGGTCATCGCCCTCGCGTGTTGCCGTGGTGGAACTTGCACATACTACACACACACACACACACACACACACACACACACACACACACAGACTTTAGCAATACTTGGCTGAGCCTATATAGACAAAATGTGTTTCAGACCTTGGTCCCAACAGCTCGGTATATGGAACTACCTTTACTGCAAGCTTTGGGATGCGTGCTCACAAGCTGGAGACTAATTACTAAGTGACACAACACATTCTCAAGTGTTGAGAGAAAAGCCATCCATCCGCTTCTTCAGGAGAAAGAAGCCATTGGGATAAACTACAAACGAATTGTTACAACCTAAAATGGGTGCTACTACAAACGAATTGTTACAACCTAAAATGGGTGCTCCTCATCCTCATCCTCCCGGGGGGTTAGGTCTCAGCAGCTGCTGAGAACACCTGGAGGCCCAGCCCTTGTTAAGAAGAAAGCATCAGCGGGGCGGTGGTGGTGTGTCTGGCAGAGGCAGGTGAATCTCTGTGAGGTCCAGGCTTGGTCTACAAAGTGAGTTCCAGAACAGGCTCCAAAAAAGCGACACAGAGAAACCCTGTCTGGAAATGCCACCCCCCCCCCCAAAAAAAAGATGAGAGCATCACCTCGCTTAATTACTCTAGCACATTTGTTTCCAAAAAACATTAAGGTTCTCAAATTCACATCACAGCCTCCAATCCAATTGCCAGATTCTATATCCCTGGTCTCTACTACAGCTCGAGACTAGAAGGTGACATTGATGTCACCAGTAAAACCTCAAAGAGGGGTGTCCAGAGGTTGACAATGACACCTGCTTAGGGACTATAATTGATAAAAAAAAAAAGGTCGTAACCCTTCACTGCTTCTTCCTTCTCTTCTAATTAACTTGCATCTTCCGGGATTGAACTTCTTACCGATCTCTTTTTGGAGCATCTCAGCAGCAACTTGTGAGCAACCGTTTTCCTCAGGACCGTGAACTTCAGGCATTGGTGACGAGTCACCAGAATTTGCTGCTTCGTCCTTACAAGGCAGACTGTGGGAACCGCGGAGATCCACACTCATGTCAGATAGAAGTCAGTAGGAACAACAAAAAAAATTTAACAACAAGAACAACAAAATAGCTAAGATCTTAAAACTCAACGTCTAGGAGGAAGGATCCTGGAGATGACAAATTAATATGTCCAGGTGTAAAATTATCCAGAGGCCAGAAGGAAGCGGGCTTCAGTCTTCCAGCAACAGAGGGAGAGGCCAGCTCAGCCTAGCTGGAGGCCAACAGCTTAAGGCGCCAGATTTTAAAGGTAGATTCCAGTGTCCTGGATCACTCCTCCCCCTCCACCCCCCACTCCCGCCCACCCCCCACCCCAGCACCCACGCCCCGCCGTCCCTGTGAATTCACAGCTAATCCCTCCTGCCAGGCCCACCGAGGACATTGTGATGCAAAAGAAGCTGAGGAATGAGTGACCCAGACTGAGGCGGGAAGGGAAAAGATGGGGCCACCTAATCCAGAGATCAAAAAAAAAAAAAAAAGGTGGCTTCTCACGTGTGGTTTTACCATGTTTCACCGTCAAACCATGACTGCACCTCCAAAGCCTGTACTCTCTCCAGTGGGGCCATTTCCTCATCTGTTCTCCCACAGACATAATAGAATAATCAGAGCTTGTTGTCCAAGTCTCTAAAAATGGCGCTCCTGCTATGATGAGTTCTTTGAGGAAGTCTTCACTGAGATGGCAGAAAGGTACCGACAGGTTGAAGAGATGAACGCCTGTGACAACCTAGGAGACCACCCGGTGGGGAATGTGTATGCCAAGTTTCGTCGTGAGGAGGATGCAGAGAAAGCTGTGATGAACTTGAATAACCGCTGGTTTAATGGGCAGCCAATCCATTCAGAGCTGTCCCCAGTGACTGACTTCAGGGAAGCCTGCTGCCACCAGTATGAGATGGGCAAGTGCCCAAGAGGGGCCTTCTGCAACTTCATGCATCTGAAGCCAATCTCAAGAGAACTCAAAAAGAAGCTGTCTAGGCGCCAGCGCAAGAAGCATAGATCCAGGTCCCGATCCCGGGAAAGGCATTCTCCATCCAGAGACATTAGGCATGGTGGCAGCAGAGGTGGAGGACGAGAGCATGACGGGAGGCAGTCCAGATACCTCAAGAGAGATGGGAGATTCGGAGCCCACCTGTTTACACCTTGTGTCTGCTAGACAGTTTTGTAGTTGGTTGACAAGCCAGTTCATATTGGGATTTTTTTTTTTTAACAACCAAAAAAGATGAGTTTCTGAATAAAATTTGTAGTGATAAAATAAGAAAAAAAAATATGGTGCTCCTTTTCAGCTCCCACCTTAGTTCTTTCTTGGTTTTCATTTTGGGAAAGATGGGCAAGTCTTTCTACCAAAAACGCCGTGTTTTAGCAAGAGGGAGGACCCGTGACCTGCTACAACTCTTGGGCTCCTTCGTAAGTAGGTCTGTATCTTTCACTTGTCAAAGTTGGTTTTGAAACAGGGTCTTACTAGCCTTGGGAAACCTGAACTCAATATTTAGACCAGGCTAGCCTCAAACTCATGGAGATCTGCTTTTACCTCTGCCTCCCAACTGCTGGAGTTGGAGGTAGTATGCCAGGCACAATGACTAGCTTGAGGAGTTTTTAAATTAATTTTTTTTGGGGGGGGGTTCTATTTTGTTTTGAGACAAGTTCTCACTGTAGCCTATGATGGCCTCAGACTTAGTGCAATCCTCCTGCCTCAGCCTCCTAAGCAACAGAATAAGGAACTTATTTTATTTTTAATTTGGTTGTGGTTGCTTCTTTGAGACAGAGTTTCATGTAGCCTCACATGCACTATATTGCTGATGCTGGCCCTGAACTCCTGCTTTTCCTTCTACAAGTTCGAAGCTTGCCCAGCACCTTCATGCTCACGAGAAGTGCTCTTTACACCATTGAGCAGGATAGTTCTAGCCTACTCGTTAAGTCTGTCTCTGTGTGTGTAAACAGAGAGGGAATTACCTGCTGTGTGTTAATTTAGGAGCTACACAAGAGAAAATGCTGTATTTTCATAACATCTCTCATGTCCGAGGCTATTTACCACAGTGCGTATTAGTTGACATTTCTATGTGAATTTTGTGCTGCAAAACACTAAATTTGAATGCAACATGATAAAATTAAAAGCAGCCATTTCTTATTTTGTTTGAACACTACTAGACATGAACTAATGTGGCTGGTGGACTCTGTCCACACCCAACTGGAAGAAGGTGGAGAATGACATTGTAGCTGTACCCTCTTCCCTTGTGGTCTTCAGATTTACTGTTTCAACACTACCCTCTT